CCCCCCCCCTCTCTCTCTGCCTCTTTTCCCCTCTCTTCCCTTCTCTCTTTCTTCCCCCTATCTCCTAAGGTCATCCTGTGATGCCATCTCTTTTTAAATGGATGTAAACTTAAACTTAAACAAACTTAAAGTTGTTTCCTTCTTTCTATGAATCGTAAAAGGCTAGCATCCAAGTTCAGCAAGTAATAGGGATGGCCAAGGACTAAACCAAACAAAGAAGTGCAGCTGCTAGAAACCTGAAACAAAACCAGAAATGGCTGGAAAAACTCAGCAGGTCTGGAGAAAGCACAGTTAACATTTTGAGTCCAGTGACCCTTCTTTAGAATTGATAGAAGCTAGGAAAAAGTGGTATTTATGATGATGACAGTTGGGCGGGAGGGGGTCAGAGGGGTAGGTGGAGACAGAGTCCAGAGAGAGAGAGAGAGTGAAAGTTAGCCAGATGAAGGACAATTGACAGTAAACCAGAGAAAGTTTCTTGGGGACTTTGACAGGTAGAACGGCACGGTGGCTCAGTGGTTAGCACTGCAGCCTCACAGCACCAGGAACCCATGTTCAGTTCCACCTTTTGGGCGACTGTCCATGTGGAGTTTGCACATTCTCCCCGTGTCTGCATGGGTTTCCTCCGGGTGCTCTGGTTTCTTCCCACAGTCCAAAGATGTGCAGGTTAGATGGATTGGCCATGCTAAATTGCCCCATAGTGTGCAGGAATGTGTAGGCTTGGTGGATTGACCATGCAGGGTTACAGGGATAGGGTAGTGGGGTGGGTCTGGGTGGGATGCTCTTCAGACGGTTGGTGTTGACTTGATGGGCCGAATAGCCTGCTTCCACACTGTAGAGGTTCTATGAAAAATTAACCTGTGGCAATCAAATTGTAGCCCCTGAGAAACCTCAAAAGGACCCTGTTTTTTAAAAATATATATATTTTGAGCACAGCGCACTACATTTGAGGAAAACTGTTGAACTCCTGCAGGTAGAGAAGGATTACCAGCAATGAGGGATCTTCATCACATAGAATGTAATGATGGCATCTGATTTTAATTGGCTTGACAGATCATTTTTAATTTTCATGATATACAAGCATGCAATATTGCAGGTTTGGTTTTAACATGAAAATAGAAGTTTATTACACAAATGAACTGAAGATATAATAGGATAAACCAAACTGTTTGTAACACATTTAAAGATTTTGAACACATATCAAGCGTATCATCCCATTAACCCCAACAGCATTCCATTACAGTACCCAAACACCAGAGGGAAGTCCCTTTTCTATCTCGCATCAGTTTGACTAAGCTATGGCTTCAATTCCCGGTCATGAGAATTGATAACCTCTGATTTGTCAAATTACCAAGCCTAGTCTTTTTTCAGCTTCTCATGACCACCCCTTCCAGAGTTTTACCAAAAGACTTCTGGTCTGGAACATTTAAACTAAACTGCTGACATTAATTCTAAACTACTTCAGCCTTTCTCAGGAGCAGCCACTTTATAAATCCAGCCTCAGCGAAGAACTGTGCAAACTAAAATGAAAAAATCTTCTTGTTTTCCTTTGTGTGCATTTCCATGAATTGAAAGGAAGAAAAGAATCAGCCCCTGACGCTTCGGATGAGCCTGATGCACAGCTTTTCACTTTGCTTATAAAATTCTGCCAATGTAAATGAAAACCCATTACTGTCCAAAAAGTATTTCTCTCATATTCTTTTAAATATATCACCATGGCTACAGAATTATTATAGAATCCCTACAGTGTGGAAACAGGCCCTTTGGCCCAACAAGTCCACACTGACCCTCAGAGCATCCCACCCAGACCCATCACCTGATAACCCACCTAAGCTACACATCCCTGAACACTAAAGGCAATTTCCCATGGCCAATCCACCTAGCCTGCACATCTTTGGACTGTGAGAGGAAACCAGAGCACCCGGAGGAAACCCACGCAGACATGGGGATAATGTGCAAACCCGACACAGACAGTCACCCGAGGGTGGGATCGAACCCAGGTCCTTGGCGCTGTGAGGCAGCAGTGCTAACCACTGAGTCACCGTGCCGCCATATGTAAGTTAATCACTAAGCCTGTTCAGCAATACTAAAAATCCATAAAAACCGAAGAAACCATTCTGAGGAACGGTCACTGAACCCGAAACGTTAACTGTATGATTTTTGTTTCTTCACAGATGCTGCCAGACCTGCTGAGCATTTCCAGCCACTTCTGTTTTTGTTACTGAAAACCCATATGCCACTACTTCAAATTCAAAATTCCAAACTCAAAAATAAATGATAGTAAAATATATATGAATCTCACACCTTGCACAACAAGGGAGACTGCAGAAACTGAGTTTGTCCTCCTCAGCAAAGAGAACATTAAGGAGAGATTTAATTGAGATGTCCAAAGCTAAGGGAGTTTTTGGTCGAGTAAAAGGTGAGAAACTGTTTCCAGTTGAAGGGGTTCTGAGGAAGGGTCACCGGACCTGAAACGTTAACTCTGTTTTCTCCTTCACAGATGCTGCCAGACCTGCTGAGCTTTTCCAGCAACTTTGTTTTTGTTCCAGTTGAAGGGGAGTCAGTGACTAGAGCACTGTAAACAAATTGGCAAAACTAACCAGGTGAGATTTCATTTGGCAAAAATAATGTGGAATATGCCACTTGCAAAGGGCAGTGGAAGCAGAGCACCTGTCAAAAGGGAATTAGATAAAGTCTTGAACGGGAAATATTTGCAGGCGTACCTGGAAAGGAGAAGATTGTGGGATGACCTGGATAGCTAAATCAAATAGCCAGCATAGGCACAATGGGCTGAATGGCCTCCTTTTGTGCTGCTCATTCTTTCATTCCTTAAGTTCTCTCCAGCTTTCTCCCCTGCATATCATGAGCTTGCATTCTAATAATGACACTCGTTTCTCTAACCTCACCAGTGAGAATTGTAACCTGCACCTCTTGTGGCACAGTGGCTAGTGTCCCTGCCTCTGAACCAGAAGCTCCATGTTCGAGTCCCACTCCAGAACTTAGTGGAGGGAGGTGAGATGATAAAAGCAGCCAAACAGGTTGATTATTGAGTTGTAAATCCTCCCATCAGCTTCTGTGGGTAATGGTAAGAGCAGGAGAGATTCCTGGCTGGTTATGGGATGGAGAGAACATTGGAGCCTCCAGAATGGCAACGTGCAGGTTTTATAGAGAGCATCTGACCACAGCAACTCTTGGCTCCCTGTGTGAACTGTAGCATAATACCACCCTCACTGCGAGGCACCTTGCTTTCAAAGTAATCTCCTTACTCTCGTGCAGGAATTTGCGGTACTGACAAAGGAGCTGAATCTGTGCCGGGAGCAGTTGCTGGAGCGGGAGGAAGAGATCGCGGAGCTGAAAGCTGAGAGGAACAACACACGGGTGAGTAGAAGCTGCAGTGAGCTCGCAATGTGATGGGTTGAGGAGTCTTCTCTTTACCATCCCCTCGCCCATACCCTAGACCTTCTGGAACCTCATCCCTTCCTCAGTGCCTCAGCCCTTTCACGCCTTTCTACCTCTGGAGAACCATGAAGGAGCAAAATGGGAATTGTTTGAAGAAGCGACTCGCGGTGAGCCAACAAAAATGGATCCCTGACACACATGTAGGCCAGACCGGGTAAGGACAGCAGATTTCCTTCCCTAAATGACATCAGTGAACTAGATGAGTTTTCATGACAATGGATGATAGCTACCATGGTCTCTAATCCTGAAAATAGCTTTTAATTCCAGATTTCATTCATTGGATTTAGATTCCATCAACTGCAGTGGTGGGATTTGGACCAATGTCCCCAGAGTATTTGCATTTTCTTTTAAACTAGTAATCACCATTTGTAAGAACGCCCATGTATCCAGTTGAGTATTTACAAGCTAAACCCATTATGGATAATGCAAGCCATCAAAGTTGTCCCCAGAGTATTTGCATTTTCCATCAAAGTTGGGGAGTATGGGGAAGGGAATAGGGAGAGCAGGAATGGACTAAATCAAAATGAAGTTGGAGGGGGAAACTAATTTACTATATCCCCTGCAGTGCCCACTGCAGTATAGCTATTAAGAACATTATTAGACAAGGACACTCAGACATGAACATAGTCCCCTGGGTATTAGTCTGGTCTGGATTATTCATTTAGTGACTGTTGTCATGATAATGGTCTAATGATTAATCACTCATAAGGAATTGATTAACTCATTGGGTTAGTTTATTTAAAGCAATAAAGCACATTATAAGTTATGAAATAAACATTGGAACAAACTGCCTGATTTCTCTGTGTGCAGCTTGCAGACTAATTGCCAGGCAGAGTCACAGCCTTATATACACACACAACACATAGAGCCCACGAGGGTAAATTTGTTCAAAACGCTGTATGTCCACAACAATCATCACTATATGCAGCTGTCTGCCTAGAATGTGGTTAAAACAGAACCAGCTGGCAGAACCTGGCCAGTTGTATTGGGGGGTCAGACCTAACTTGGAGGCTTTCAATATGGCAAACAGGGCCTCACTGTGGAAGTACCTGTACCACAGCCACCAGATGCCATTTTTAGCTGCGGAGGAAGTAGCGAAGCATGGTGGGAAACCAAACTCAGTAGGTTCATTCAAAATTAGTACCAAGTTTACACAGCCCCATTTTGCTGTTTTAAGGACCTTAACCCATAGAAATCATAATTTTATGAGGAAGAGTAAATACATTTCAATGCAGGTAAATTATGTTCAGGTGTCATAATCTGAAATATATTTAAATCCCTGCACATTTCAAAATAGGGGAAAAGGTTGCAGTTTTCGGTTACAGTGAGAAGCTGCAGTTTTCAGAGTACAAAGGCTTGAAGAAATGACAGGCCATCTTTTATTGACAGGCCATCTGGTGTAGCATGGAGTAAATCACTAGTCATTCATTCCTGCAGTTTTAGTATGATTCATTGTTAAAGTTTCCAAAGGGCTTTTACCACAGCACATCCCATTATGAGTGTGTAACTGAGTTTCAGAAGCAGCAAAACCCATCCACGATCAGCACAAGACTAAGTTCACATTTTGGTTGATAGATTTTAAGAGGCAATTAAAGGATTAGCTGGCTTTGATGTGTTTAGTGAATAAAGGTTTGTTTGTCTTTATTACAAATTGAAGAATTTCAAATTTTTGAATGGATTTCATTTATAAGATCTTCTTTTCTGTATCAAGTGCATGTGAGTGGGAGCTTTCTTTCAACTCCACATGGTCTCTAAGGTCTACCTATAGTGGATACTTAATGAGTGGCAATGGAGATGACATTAGGTTTGCCAAGCAAGGAGGTTGAATATGAGTGGTGGGCAGTTTGCAGGGGTATGAACGTGGCAAGGGTGCCTGCAGCATGGAGGGGCACGGGGCTTACATGGAGGTGTTATGGGCTATGAGGGGACATGTGGGTGTCGTGGACAATGAGGAAACATAGGGGGAATAGGGACATGGGGGGATGGACGATGAGGGAACATGGGGGTATGGGGACATGAGGGATGGACGATGAGGGGACATGGGAGGATGGGGACATGGGGGAATGGGGACATGTGGAGATGAGGAATGGGGGGACATTGATGAGGGGACATGGTGGGGGGGGTTGGTGGGCAATCAGGGGACATGGGATGGGAACATGGGGGGATGGGAACATGGGGAGATAAGGGGATGTGGGAGGGATGAGGGGATGTGGGGGTTTTGAGGGTTATGGATGTGGCATCAGGGTGGCATTGTGTATGAGAGGACGTGGGACAGTATCAGTGTGAGGATACACTTGGGGTAGCATGAGTATGAGGGGGCCTGGAAGTGGTATTAGGTGGCACTAGGGCATGGAGGTAACATTGGGGTAGGTAATGAGTGGTTGTGGGGGCGACAGGAGCTTTGGTGTGAGGGTTGGAGTATCTGACAGCCCTCTACTGAAGTGGGTAGAAATCTGGGGTCTGAGATGGGCCTTCCAACGAGACTGTTTTGGCATTTGCTTGCTTCCATGACTACCTCAGATTTTCACTGGGCTCAAGCAACAGCCAGAGCAGGCATTGGCAGAATCGTCAGCTGCGCCGGTGACCTAAAGATGAATTGGTTGCTAAGGCTGGGAGGCTGTGAAGTGCCTATATAAATGCAAATTGTTGTCCGCCACAGCTGCTGTTGGAACATTTGGAGTGCCTGGTATCGCGCCACGAGCGTTCCCTCAGGATGACAGTGGTGAAACGTCAAGCCCAGTCTCCTGCTGGCGTCTCTAGTGAGGTCGAGGTGCTCAAGGCCTTGAAATCACTCTTCGAACACCACAAAGCTTTAGACGAAAAGGTGCCGCCTCCCCTTCTTTCCCAGTCTCTCGTTGCGTCCGGGCCCTTGCACTGAACGGTTGGCTGTCTTTGTGAGCGCGTCGGGTTGCCGGTGGTGGGGGGGGGGGGGGGGGGGGGGGGGGAGGAGGTGGTTATCGTCAAGTATTACAGCACAGAAGGAGACCATTTGGCCCATTATGCACGTGCTGGCACTTTCGAAGGGTTGTCCAATTTGTCCCGCTCCTTCAGTTCTTAGCCATTGTCCCTGTCGGTTTTCCGTTTCGAGGATTTCATCTGATTCCCTTTTGAACGTTAACAATTGAATGCGTTTCCGCCCGCGTTCATTTCGCATGGTCATAATTTAAGAAAAGGAACTCTTGTTCCTCTGTGCCTTTCTTTCAGGAACAAGGGGGCTTAGCTGCGATTTTATCGAATGGCAGAGCAGACTCGAGGGGCCAAGTGGCCTACTTCTGATTTGTATGCCCATGGGCCGTACCCTCTGCTTTCCTGACCGTCCTGCCAGACGACAGTTTCAGTCGTCTCCCTGATCAATAATTTGAAACCCTTCTCTTAAGTCTGAGATCCCAGTCGCTGCTATCTCTCCATTCCCATCCCCGGCACTCTTCCGCCAAACCCTGTGCCCCTCGAAGGCCTTACCATCTTTCCCCAAAGTGTGGCACTCCAGAACTGGATGCAGTGCTCCAGCTGAGGCCTAACCCGTGATTTTATAAAGATTGAGAGAAACCTCCTTGTTCTTGGTTATTCGGTTACCATTACTTATCCAAGTCAGGTCGTGCGGAATATTCAGCTGGAAATCTGTGCGATTCCCGACCCGAGCTAATCTTCTTTGTGTGGCAGGTACGGGAGAGGTTGCGAGTTGCTTTGGAGAGAGTCTCGATACTGGAAGAAGAGCTGGAAACGACAGCCCAGGATGTGAGTGCTCCGTGTTTGAAACTCCAGGAGTTTGTTGCGGGACGAATTGCTGCCCAGAGCTGGAATGGGCCTACCCCCACTCCCTGGGCTGTTGTCTAGATTCGAGGCTGAGCAAGCTCTGTCACAGGAAAAGATAGCAGGCTGAGGCCCACTCCCCAGATGGCGGTCTCGGAAAAATAATTAATCATTTCAAATTTGGGATAATTTCATTTCATGGGCTAGTAAAGCAAGTAACATTTGCACCACACAAGTGCCAGGCAACAGTAGAGAATCTAACCATCTCGCCTTGATATTTATTGACATTTTCACGGTTAAATAGCTCGCCAACAAGTCCGGGTGGGATCACCATTAACAACAAACTGAACTGAACTAGCCAGTGGCTACAAGAGCAGGTCAGAGATTCGGAATGCTGAGGCAAGTAAATCTTTCCCTGACTCCCCAAAAGCCTGTCCATCATCTACAAGGCACAAGTCAGGAGGAGATGGAATACCCCCCACTTGCCTGGATGGGGGGCAGCCCCAACAACACTCCAGAAGCTCGGCACCATCTGTAAGACGCACTGCAGACATTCATCAAAGCTCCTTAGGCAGCACTTCACAGACCCACAACCTGTGCCACTCAGGAGGACGAGGGCAGCAGATGCATAAGAACACCACCCCCTGCAAATTCCCCTCTAAGCCATGTGCCATCCTGACTCGGAAATATTATCAGCGTTCCTTCGGTGCCATTGGGTCAAAATCCTGGAACCCGTTGAAACATAGGAGCTGGTGTAACCTACTCCACTGCTCGGTTTGATCATGGCTGATCATCCAACTTAGTCTCTATTCCCGCCATCTCCCTCATACTCTTTAATGGCTTTAACCGTAAGAATTATATTTAACTCATTTAACAATCAAAACTTTGGCCTCAACCACTTTCTGTGGCAGAGAATTCCACAGGCTCCCCACTGCTTGGGTGAAGAAATATCTCCTCATCTCAATCCTAAATGGTCTACCCACTCCCGTATCCTTACTCTGTGACCCCTGGTTCTGAAATTCCTGGACATCAGGAATGTCCTTCCTGCATTCGTCTCGTCTAATCCTGTTAGAACTTTCTATGAGAACCCCCCACATCCTTCTAAACACCAGTGAATAGAGCCCTAACCGATCCAGTCTCTCTTCATACGCCAGTCCTGCCTTCCCCAGAAGCAGTCCCAAACAAAATTGAGGGTCTCCTTTGACCCCCAGAGACTGGAGTGGTTCAGGAAGGCGGCTTGTACCCACCTTCTCGAGGGCAATTCGGGGGGGTGTGAGGCAATAAATGTCGACCCAGCCAATGCTGCCCGTGTCCCACTGTATCATTTATATTAGAAAGAAATTAGCAAGTGACCTGAGCGACAAAGTGATCCGAATCTTGGGGAGTAATCATGTTGTTGTGGTGTTAATTGGCCCGATTTCCTACCTCCTGTTTTGAATAAAGTTGCCGTCATCCCACAGGACCATAGGAGAGCCAGAGAAAGAGACAGAGAGAGAGAGAGAGAGATAGAGAGAGAGACAGGGAGACAGAGAGAGAGATAGAGACAGGGAGAGAAAGAGACAGAGAGAGAGAGATAGAGACAGACAGAGACAGAGAGAGAGAGATAGAGACAGAGAGAGAGAGACAGAGAAACAGAGAGAGATAGATAGAGAGAGAGAGAGACAGGGAGACAGAGAGAGATTATAGAGACAGGGAGAGAGAGAGACAGAGACAGAGAGAGAAACAGACAGACAGAGACAGAGAGAGAGAGAAAGACAGAGAGAGACAGAGACAGAGAGACAGGTAGAGACAGAGACAGAGAGAAAGAGATAGAGAGAGAGATAGAGACACAGAGAGAGAGATCAAGACAGAGAGAGAGAGAGAGAGACAGAGACAGAGAGAGACAGACAAAGACAGAGAGAGAGATGACTGGTGGTGAAGGTCAGATGAAGTCTCAGCAGCTATGAGTGGAGTTAAATCCACATTGTTGGCATCATGTTGTATCGCAAACCAGGTGCCCAGCCAACTGGCACCCCGCCCCCCCCCGACCTCACGATTCTGTTTTAAGAATGGTGGTAAATTAACGATCCCTGAGCTTGCCTTCAGAGGGACCAGTGCCATCGTAACGGCTGGCGATCGTTGGCTTTGATGTTCGGGATTGTGCTGGTGCCGACTCTGAATCAGTCTGACACACCGCACGCTGGTCACGGCCTGGGGAGGGGAGGAGCGGTATTGTGGCGGTTTTATGTTTTGTGAAGGAGGGGGAAGGGGGTGTGCCCACGGATGATTAACGCAGTTGCCGCTGTCCTGCTCGCAGAGGCTGACCAATGGCACGGCGCTGACTGGCGACGGGGACTCAGAGCTGATTGAGCGGCAGAGCACCGAGCTTCTCCAGATGAAGGAGCGCTTGGCCATGCTGTGCCGCAAGGTGGCGGAGGTGGAGGAGGAGCTGAGCACGGCGCGCAAGGACCTGACCAAATCCGAGGAGGTGAACGCCAAGCTCCAGCGAGATTTGAAAGAGGTAAGTGTTGGCAGTGGGCGCGGCCCGGGGGACCGTGCGATGGAACCGAATCATCCGCAGGGGCATCGGCAAGTTTCTGATCCGCAGTGGAATGAGCGGTGCCAATGATAACGGCACATCGGGGGTACGTGGGCGATGTGGGCAGCTTTGAGTCAAAATGTTGGCATCGTAACGTTAGTTTAAACAAGCCTCTCGTTGAGGTGGCATGGGTACTCATGGCAAATCATTTTAGGCAGCAACGAAGAATGAATGAGTGAATTAATTAATAACTGAGTAAGGAATGTTAATGATACCTTTTGTAGGGCAGCTCCATTGTTCCCTGTTTTAACGGAAAGCAATTAAGATGTTTAAACAATTGCCTCCAAACATTATGCAAAGGAATATAATATGAACTGAATGTTGGCTCAGTAACATCAACACTGGTTCGATGGCTATTGATTTTACTTGGGGTTTTGTTGCAGTCGCCTCTCTATTTACCAACTGGCTGCGAAGGGACTGGGAAGCCCTCTCTTGTTTCTTAAAGGTGGATGAACACTTTCTTTGCTCTTCCATGGGGTGCTGTTAAGCAGCTGCCCATCCCTAATGCCCCTTGAGCTGAGTGGCTTTCTCTGTCATTTGAGAGGGCAGTGCAGGGTCAGCCCCTTCTCTGTGGGTCTGGGGTCATGCGGAGGCCAGATTGGGTAGGAACGGCAGATTTCCCACCTACAGTTCTTGGGGGACCGAGAGGATCGACTGACATTAGTTGTCATGCTAACAGCAAGGGAATATTCAAAATGGTACGAATTAAATTTAAATCTCTCTCCCCCCTCCCCAGTTGTCCTGGTGGGATTCGAGCCTGGATCATCAGCCTGAGCCTCCGGATTCATAGTCCAGTGACATTGTGGAGTGTGGGGGTGGGGAACAAGGCTGAGGGGAGAGGGAGAGGGAGGAGAAAGGGAAGGGTGGTGGAGGGGGGAGGAGGCATGGGTAGGGAAGGGGTGGCAGAGGGAGTTTAGTGGGGTGTAGCGGACTGGCATCTGGGCAGGGCTGTAACAGGGGTGAGGGGAGGAGTGGAGTTGGGGGTGGAGCTTGAGGGGCGTGGCACGGGGTGTAGGGGATGGAGGGACTGGCGGGGGGAGAGGCAGGAGGGGAGGGCTGTGGGGGAGGGCCGTAGCAGAGGGGAAAGGTATGGGGGAGGGGGAGTGCTAGGTGGAGAGGGGAGGGTTGGTGGGGGAGTGGTGGAGGGGCTATGGGGCAGGTCCATGGTGGTTCTGCTTCCTTTTGGACCAGCTGTGTTCTGTCCCTTGTAGCTTCGCTTGGGAAATTGGTCATTGTTTTCCTACGCTAGGACAGAACTGCTTGCATTTATATAATGCTTTGAACTACTTGGAGAAGACACCAAAGTGCTTAACAACCAACGAAATACGTTTTGGTTCCAACGAAAATTTCTGAAGCAAGGTCTAGGCCCGAAACGTCAGCTTTCCTGCTCCTCTGATGCTGCTTGGCCTGCTGTGTTCATCCAGCTCTATACCTTGTTATCTCAGATTTTCCAGCATCTGCAGTTCCTACTATCTCTGAACCAGGTTATAGTCCAACAGGTTTATTCCAAATCACAAGCTCTGAGAGGACTGCTTCTTCGTCAAGAACACTGCTCTGAAAGCTTGAGATTTCAAATAAATTTGTGGGACTACAACCAGGAGTCATGTGGCTTCTGTCTGAGGGAGGGAATTCCAGGATTTTGACCCAACGTCTCTAAAGGAACGGCGATATATTTCCAAGTCAGGATGGTGAGTGGCTTGAAGGGGAACTTGAAGGGGGTGGCGTTCCCATGTATCTGCTGCCCTTGTCCTTCTAGATGGAAGAGAAATAGGCATTCCTGATTTTCTTTATCTCCCCATGCCTGGACCCAAAGTTATGAGAATCTGTTACTAAACCTTTCTACCACGACTTTCCCCTTAAAATCATCCTTGAAACCTACCTCTTTGACTAAGCCTTCGGTCTCCTGGCCTAGTTACTTCTCTCCATTGGAATGTTGTCAGATTTTGTTTGATAACGTCCCGGTGAAGTGCCTTGGGAGATTTCTCCTATGTCAGGGGTATCGTATAAATTCAAGCTGCTGCTTACGCTGTCACTGTTCAAGTTCTGTGCATCCTGGGTGGGATATGGGGATCATTTCAGATCTATTTTCCAGATGGTCCCTCTTCGTTTTCCCTGTGCAGGCTTTAGCGCAAAGAGAAGACATGGAAGAGAGAATAACGACACTGGAGAAACGCTACCTCAGTGCACAGCGAGAAGCTACGTCGCTTCACGATGCTAACGATAAACTGGAGAATGAGTTGGCCAGTAAAGAGTCCCTCCTCAAGCAGGTAACCGTTCTCATTTTCTCTTGAATCTGGGTCACAAAGAGAACTGAACAGGCAAAACGGAAGTTTTAAATAAATGCGAAAGTATGGCAGACTCTGGAAATCTGAAATTAAAACACTAAACTCCAGAGAAACACAGCAGGTCTGACAGAGTTAACATTTCGAGTCCAATATGACTCTGAAGTTATGAAGAAAAGTCAAATTGGACTCAATGTTAACTCTCTTCCTCTCTCCATAGCACCTGCCAGACCTTCTGAGTTTCTCCAGTGCTTAATATTTTTCTCACCTTTCTTTTAAAACTTTTAAAACCGACTCCCATTGGAATTTGCATAAGAATAGGAGGTGGAGGCCATTCAACCTCTCAAACCTGTCCCACTGCCCCCACTCTAAGCTGCCCTGCATCTGCTTTATGTCGATCTGGTCTGATTTAGTGGTTCTATATTGAACAAAAAAAAAATTCTTAACAATTTCAATCTTAATTTTCAGTTGACTCCCATCCTGACCTGCTTTATTTTAAGGGAGAAAGTTCCAGATTTCCATTCGGCTTTGTGTGAAGAAATATTGCTTGAAGCTAGCCCAGTTGTGAAGGAGGCCATTCAGCCCATTCATAAGTGGGAATTGGTTTCTTCCTATTGACTCTGTCCAGAGCTTTCAGGATTTTGGACATTTTGAACTGATCTCTTCTCCAAGGAGGGAAAACTCCTTGACTTCTCCAATCAGTCTTCATGGATGACATTCCTCATCCCTGGAACAGTTCTTGTATGTCCTTAATGTACACCCATGCCCCACCCTCGCTCTATGCCTATGTAAATGTCTCCAAATGATTGAATATTTCACACACTGTCACGCAATGAATTTCAGTCACCTTGTGCATTTGCAATCCTTGACAATCTCCTTAGGCTCCAGGACCTGATGCATTGAAATCATTAGCAAGTCCTTCCAAGGTCTCTGCAACCCCCTCCAGCCCAACAGGTATCCCATGCCTGTGGGACTCCAAACTCTTCCAGTTACCCCCCCCCAACCCCCCAGCCCCACTCCCTGTATTCCCATTTTCCCACCATCCCACTGTGCTCTTGCTCCAAACTTCTTCAAACTCTCCTTTAAAAATCCTTGTCAAAACCCACCTCATTGGTCAACCCCACCCGCCCAATCATCCTCCAGTTTATTGTTGATCGCCGGGAGGGGCATGTGTTCATCGGGCATGACAGTGTGGGGAGGCATCTGAGAGCAACCTGCCTCACTGCATGTTTGAATGCTCCTCTCCTACCTCTTGGTGCTCTGCAGGGTGTCACCTGCGTGAGAAGGTGCCTATATTTGCTCACTTTTTCTTCTTAAAACCCAACAGCAGAAGATGGAGGCCACTCGGCCCGTCGTTCCCCTTCTTGCCCTTCGGAGAGTTGATGAGTTGGTCCAACCCCTTCCCCACAGCTCTGTAAATGTGTCCCTTTTCAAGAATAAATTGCTTCCAAGTTATTAAAACTGTTTCCACTGCCCTTTTCAGGCAATGCATTCCTGAACTCACTGTTTTAACATCTCACCGTTTTACAGCTTCACCTGTACACGCTGGTCCTTCTGCCCCTGGTCTTTACGTTTTTACAGATTTGTTCACGGGGTCTGTACATTGCTGCCTAGAGTGGCACTTAGTGCCCATCACTAGTTGCCCAGAGGTTGATTAGGAGGCGGTCATGTTGGTGTGGGTCTGGAGTCACATGTAGGCCGAACTGGGTAAGGACAGCAGATCTCCTTGCACAATACCCTCCTTCTCCCCCCACCCCCACAACATAAACAAAACAAGCCAGTCCCCACTTGTGCCCCCCCACCAGGGAATTTCCGTTCCTGTGGCAAAATGCACTGTTGACCACATTATGAACACACCCACCTTGGCCGACATATTCTTGAGTGGGAGGCGAACCCAGAGACCTTGGCTGACAGGCAAAGATGCTACCCACTGTGCCACTAGACCCTCCCTCTCCTTATCGATTCTGTCAATATCCCTCCAACTTTTGGGTAGCTCCATTCAACCTACGCTTTAACCTTCACTGACAAAGAGCCCCCATCCCTTCCGCTCTTTCCACAGAACTGAAGTCCCATATGCCCCGGTCCCATTCAGGTAACTCCCCCTCTGTCCCAGTGTCCACTGCATGGCCCCTTGGAGGGTCTGCACAGCGGCAGGATAACGCAGAGGGAACAGAACTCCACACCCCGTCCAAAGCCGTAGGGCAAGGGCCCTGGCTCTAGCCTTCAGCCAACAGATGAGTTCCCTTATCGCAGTTCCTCAGTTAATGGAACTACTGGACTTGTTCCACTTTGGTTGTCAGTAAATTACGTGGCTCTTGGATGCGCTCCCACAAGGTAATACTTTCGGCCCAATTGAAACGGTCAGGGCAGGAATCGAATATTGAACAAAGTTGTAAATTGTTGAATTGCTGCTGACTGTTAAGATCATGGATTTCAGTCTGCACGCGAAAGTAATGACCAGCGCTACCTGTCTCTCTCTCTCATTGTTATTGGTCACTCCGTGTCTGGGTTGCTGTGGCAAGGCACAGTTTTACCTGCAAATTGCAGCCTGGAGCTGTGGATAATGATGGCAGAGGCTCCAGTGTTCGTTCCCTCACACAGCTGACCGGGAATCTCTCTCTTGCTGTCACTGACTGGCATTGGTGTGTGTCTGAAGGATTTGCAGATGGATAGGGAACCCGTTTGCTGCATAAAATTCTCCTTCAGTCATCAGTCACAAAATCAGATTACAGGAAAGTCAAACTTTGATCTGTTCCTTGCCTGGTGGGTGAAGCAGGCATTTTTAAACCCTCACATGCTCCTTGCCAGTGTGTCAAATCTCACAGGCCATTCAGCCCATCTCTGTGTGGTTGGCTCTTTATGTAAGGACTAACCAATTCGCTCTTGCCCCACAGCCGTGCAGACATTTTCCTTTTGAGAATTTATCCAACCCCCTTCCAATGGCCATTGTTGAAACAGCTTCCATTATTCCTTTTAAATGGTGCATTCCAGGTTGCCACACTCGCTCCATGTACAGGGAAATGTTTCCTCCTCTCTCTTCTGGTTCTTTTCCAATTGTCGGAATTCATCCATCCTCTGGTTACCCCCCTGTCTGTTTGTGGAATTGGTGTCTCCTCACGACTCTATCAAAACCCTTCATGATTATGAACTTCTTCACCTCCTTCCTCACCCTCTCCTCACCTCCCACATCCCATTCCTCATCACCCTCCTTCTCATCTCCCCCTCACCTCCCACATCCCATCCCTCATCACCCCCTCACCTCACCTACCCCTCACCTCTCACATCCCATCCCTCATCACCCCCCTCCTCACCTCCCACATCCCATCCCTCATCGCTGCCCTCCTCATCCGCCCCTCACCTCCCATATCCCATCCCTCATCACGTCCCTCCTCACCTACCCCTCACCTCCCACATCCCATCCCTCATCACCCCCCTCCTCATCTACCCCTCACCTCCCCCACTTCACCTCCTCCCCAAATTCACTTTCCCCTTCGCTTCTCCCCAACCTCAGCTCCTCCTTCACCTCCCCCCTTCACCTCCCACCTTCTCCTCACCCCCCGACCTCCCCCCAACTTCACTACCCCCTTCACCTACCCCGAACCTCATTTCCCCCTTCACCTACCCCGAACCTCACTTCTCCCTTCACCTACCCCGAACCTCACTTCCCCCCTTCACCTCCCT